AGAGATCTACAGGTCCGGGGTCGAGAGGCCCAGAGGTCTAAAGGTCTATCTAGATATTGAGACACAAAGAGATCTGGTCTGGAGTTCTAGATACCTGGACCCCTAGAGACCTAGGTCTAGTAGTGTTCTAGAGGTATGGGAGTTCTAGGTCTAGAGGAGCAGAAAATAGAGGTCTCACAGTCTAGAGGTCTAGAACATTCAGGTGACTTTCGCAGTGATGTTGCAACGGACGTCACGTCATTGATTCAAAGGTGTGCCATTCCACGTGAGTACATGGTTACGCGGCACGCGTGCTGGACCAGCATCGGCGCAGCCGAAGGAGGCGTGAGATAAGTGAAGGAAGGCATTGCAGTCGTTAGAGTTTGAGATGTCTAGAAGTCTAAGGATCTAGAGGTCTAGAGGTCATGAAATCCATGGAGGTTTGAGATCCAGAGGTCTAGAGTTTTTTTTGCAGTTTGGTTCACTTTCCGGTTCGCAGAAACTGTGGGGCGCTCGACACATGGTCCTGGTGAAGAGGTCTAGAGGTCTCGAGATCTAGAAAGATCCGAACGCCTAGACTAGACATCCAGAGAGATAGACTTGTGGAGGTCTAGATCTGGAGATCTAGAGGCCTACAGCTCTTGAAGCCTTGATATCCAGAGTCAGAGACATGACAAATTCCCTGATGGAGCCATGATGTGAGCCAAACTCACAGGCAATGCACAGGGGTGACCTGCTTGCTGAGGGAAGGAAGCAAAGACCTGGTTACCGACGAATTGCTTCCATTGCCCCCCCCCACCCGCTTCTGTTCGCGAAACGCTTTCGTGTGAAAAACTATTTAATTCCGCGGGACCGCTATTGGCGTGAGCAATAATAACAAAGCATGATCGAGGCCCAAAAGAATCCAAGATATCAGTTACGCTACTAGTAGCAAAGGGCATGCAAGAAGCTACTAGTAGCTCCTGGCCATACTACTAGTAACAAGAAGCTACTAGGGGCTCCTGCATCGCTACTAGCTACTAGGAGCAAGGACGCTACTAGGGGCTCCTGGCCTTACTAGTAGTAACAAGAAGCTATTGGTAACAGGTGCATCGCTAGTAGTAACAGGTGCCTTACTAGTAGTAAC